CAACTAATCACGTTTAGTCATGTTCATATGTACAAAAAATTTCAGTTAATAAATATTTATCTCCAAATGGTATAATCATACACTGATGTAATATAGATTTTACTGGTATAACAATAAAATTAAATCTACTTAAATCTATAACAGCATAATAATGATCAATATATTCATGTGCAATGCCCGCTAATAAATCATCACGTTTTGATCGAATTACATCATCTGTACATAAAAATGCTTTTATAAAAGCATAATCAATGAACTGATATTGAAAGTACCATATTACAGCACCATAACATTTTCTTTTCTGTTGTTTACAATGAATAGTTTCAAATGATATAATGTTACTTAAATGAGAACCAATTCGACTATATAACAATGAATTAAATTTAACAAGACCACGATTTAATCTACAATATAATATATTTTTATCTACTGTTTGCTGAAATAATGTATTAAATGTTGTTTTAAAATCATTCATATATGTAGCTTGTATATTTTTATTAATATATGATGTGTCATAAATTTTCGACTTTGTAAATACATCGTCTAATGATAATGGTTGTTGTTCATTGTATGATAAATCACGAAGCAAATATGATTTAAATATTTGATATGGTATTCGAATATTTCCTTTTCTAAATTTCTTTAACACACCCAAAAATGATTCATCGCCAAAACAACCAGTTGAAAATAAAGCACCATTTTCTTCAACTTGATTAGGTAAATATTTGTGTGCATGCACAGAGTATAATTCCGATCTTGGACCATAAACTGACAGCATTTCTGCACGATATGCATCTAGTAACGGTCTAATTTTTTTGACGTCGTCTACTTTATTGTAATAATGCATAACACGTATTGATACAAAATATAGCAGAAAATGAGCAGCAATAATATCATCACCATGCAATAAAATCATCGGAAATGCAACGTATAACAAAAGAAACCGGTAGTCTTTTGATTTCCACCAGTTAAGAGCACTTAAAGATCTAAATGTTGACGAAATGTTATTTGGAATAATTGCCTCTTCAATAAATTTTGACATCTGTTGAAGA